ACCCTTCAAACAAAACAGTCTCATTAACGTTTAAATAATCTAACTTGGCATTACACAACGTTTAATTTCTGGTAAAATAAAAATGTACAATATTTAAGTGAGCACAGTTTTGTCCCGACTTGTCAAAATACGAGATTTCACTCGAAGTGGTGCCGGTTTATTGTTTGTTAACGAGGTCAATAATGTAATTATCATCGTTTAGGGATGATATATCTGTACACTTTGATTGCTTTAAATATTTTACGTTAGATCTTGACTTAACTTTAACTTTTGAAATTAAGCTTATTTGACATGTTTAACCCTTGTCCAATTCAAAACATATAAGGCATGTGTTTTAGCATTTTTATTTGCATTATCCAAACACTGTTCCGAGTCTGTGACGGGTAAAGTGCGCAAGAATTATTTAAAAAGAGCAAAATTATATTAGAAAAGACTTCCATATGAAAACACATATAGCTCTTCATTACATGTAAATGTTCTACGGTGGTATTTTTATGGTTTATAAGAAATGCTTTAATTGGCTGGGATGACAGTTGATATTGGTGAAGTTTATTAGTACTCTTTAAGGGTCATGTACGTTTGATTTTGCGGTAAAATTGTTACATGTACATGCGTATATTATTTAAAATTAAACGGGAGGCATTAAATAAGTATTCGTAAAAAATAAACGTAAAAGTATGCACGTATTTGTTTGGTTAAATTGATTAATACATCATTAAAATGATTAATTGGACAAATAATTATGAAAACATTAGCTCCAAGACATAAAAATATGAAAATGGAAGGATGATATTTAATAAACTCATCCCCAAGCATATCCTATCGACACAGGACCACCGACAAAGAGCCCTTGCATAGTAGCTCAGTGCTAAAGTAAAGATATGACTATTTGGTTCGAATTAACATAAGTGTCCGTTACTCAATCTCTTTTTCTGTTTGCCTTGATAAAAACTGAGCGTTATGCCTTGTAATTTCTGTTGGATATTGATCTATAAAGAAACATACCACTTTAAAGAAGGAATTATACAAATATAAAGAATGAAAGATTATTGATTATGACATTACTATGTAAATATAGCTTCTTACTGATAGTTGAATAGTTGGTCTCCATTCCAAAGCTGAAGGGAAGTTGCTGTACTCTTCACATTGATATGATTTTGCAAGGAAACACCAATTCCAGCAGGCTGTATTTCAATCCCGTACTTGCGTGTAAATTGATCAATTATATTAAACTTTTTTAGCATATCTCTTGATTCATTAGGAATAATCAGGAAAAGCGAACCCCCATAATCTTGACAAATGTCTACGATTAAGCAAAATTGTTCATTTGTGGTCACTTTTGGTAAAACGACTTCATTCCCATATAAACTTAAAGAAAAACTACTACCAAACTTCAACACCGTGTATAACCGATTTTCATATACAGGTGCGCCGCGACATGTACCAGATTCTATTTCATTGCCCTGTAGAAGTTCTGTATGTAAATCATGGAAATTAAGAATTTCCGTTCCAAACTGTGAAAACTTGAGCCAGTCAGGTAAAATGTCCTCGATATTTTGGAAAACCGTTTTCATAAAAGACGAAGACATTAGAAAGTCACGGATATCGCGTGGAGTTATAGCAAAGTTAAGACAATCGAAACTTCTTTCGTTTCCAACTTTTAAACCATCATTTTCATTTTTTGCAAGTGATCCCATTTTTATAGCAAAATTGTCGTTACTTTTATCAATTTCCATACCGGCAATAGAAACTGGTAGAGACAGCTTGTTCACTTCCACAAAGACAATTCCAAATGTATAAATGATGTTTTCGTTTGACTTTAGTTGGTACCAAGGCGAAGTGGAAGACATAAATATATCAACGGTTTTACCACCCGTACATTTTGTCAATAAGATAGTTGAACAGCCACGGGGTAAAAGTTGACGAGCTATTCCGTGTCGTGCAAACACGCTTGCTGTTTTCTCTCCGCCTTAAAAAATCATTGAATTGTACATGAACATTATTCACATACAAACATTAAACATTCAAATAGATGTCTAAACAAAATGAAATGTAAAATAAATAGGATACTGACATAAAAAATAAACAATATATTCCATGGCGCTTACTCTTAAAAGATAAAATAAAATAGAACAGAGGGAAAACAAAATCATATTTTGGCACATCGTTACATCGTTGTAATCAAATCGTTTTATTTAACTCTGGTTGCTATCAGCCATATTATTATACCAAATATTATATGTCTAATTTGAATAATGTTTTTACTTCTTGTAATTGGGTCATATCATTTTGTTTAATGGTTAAAAGACTTTTTCATTTAAAATCGTATACCAAAATCAGGCAAGTGGATTAATTGCAGAGTGTATATTATATAACTGATCTCCATTATATCATAGATTTTGTACAGAGTTAAAAAATCAAAGTCTAAAAATAGAATTGTATACAGTTTGAGATTCTACAAAATTATTACATCTCTACTCAACACCAGATGACATTGCAAAAAAGCAGCCTTTTCACTGCATACATTCCTCTACATTTTTATTTAAATCAATTTCGTTATTATTCAATGTCAGTTGTTCTCCAATGAACTGATCACGTGTCCCTAAATACATATAGAAAACAGGGACAACTTAAGCAAAGTATTGTTTCGATGTATACATGCTTTTAAATTGTTTACATTCTTCCTCAAATCATTTGTACATCTCATTTAACCACAGCTAACACAAACAGATAGTGTTTCGGTTCTCTTTCTATTACTTATTAATCTCTGTCACCCTTTTGTTAATACTGTGAATCAAACAAAATTAGATGATGATTATAACAATGTAGTCGGTTTATTACTGAATAGTTTACAAAATAACGGTTTATTTTAGTTTATACCTGTACAAGAGATACCATCATTGTTCAGAGTTGTATTGCCAGTGCATTCACACCGGAAAGACCCGATAGTATTAACGCACTTGTCTTCACATCCACCATGTAGAAAACCCTCACACTCATCTATATCTAAGATATTTTTATTTTGTTAAAATGTATGATAACTAAACAAAAAAGGGAAATCTTAAATTTAAGAAAAACAAAAACTTAAATGAGTTCATGCTTCTTCATACGATATGGGTTTTGATGTTGTTAAACTGTTAATCAAAAATCTTTTATTTGAAGTGGCAAGATTATCTCGATGTAATTGTTAGGTTGGGCTTTTCGTCAACGTTCCAACGCAATTAATGTAATATGGCGTTTTTTCAGTTTTACTAGTAAAGGAAGACCTCAGGGCACCTAAGTAGAACGGAACCAGCGATGATCTAATTGCTCGCCGGGTAGCTTCCCCAAATGAACGAATTCAGAGTCCCTGGCGGGATTGAAAATAACAGTGGTTACGGCAAGTGCTTAGAAGTAAGCGACATTAAACCACTCGGCCATGGGTGCACATCTCAACACAATTGACCAAAACAGTGTATCAAGTTAAAGTCTCCCTCAATATATAAGGAATTGTAATAATTGACAACATAGGTCAGTTACAAAGACGCTTTTTTTAAAACAAATAATAATGTACCATTATAGCTTGGACCATAGATCGCCACTTGTTCAGATATGAGGAAACTCATAATAATCTAAAATATCACCCTTATGACTTTCTGTCTTAAGATAAGATAAACACATTATACACCATTGTACCATTCAGCTAACAACTCTCCCAAGAAATATGATTGTTTCTAATATAAATTACGTATGAAATACGTTACCCTGCCCCACCCAATTTAAACACTTGTTTGACCATTTTAGTCCTAAGACAGCCTAAGTGATGCTGTCTTCAAATTTTACTTAAGTTCCTTCAAAATAATTGGTTGATTTTATAAAGTATCTCATACTTTTACCGTGTCGTTTTTATTTTATTAGACTTTGGAAATATGCGGAAATGTCACCATATTTGTTATTCAGCATTCTTTTAAACCAATAAATGCCTATTATAATTATGAAATAAAAAGTAAACAATTTTACTATACAAAAAGGGGGATCTCAAAGACACATAAATGATGCTGAAAGAATACAAAAGTTAACCCATCTGGGGTATGAACTTACGCCTCTTAGTTTCAATGCAAATGATAGTACTTCAAGCCTATTTGAATACTCTTCAAAGAGGACGTTATGCATTGTTTGTGCTGTGTTATAGCTTAAATTGAAAAGAGAAATTACAAGATCATTTATAGTGTAAGTTTAAAATCTCTCTTCTCAAACAAACAGTCTAAAACGAAACAAAGTTGAAATATTTTTGCAGTTACCATTTTCACAATTCCTCCCTGTAAAACCTTTCTTGCATGAACACGTGAAAGAACCAATGTTGTCAAGACATGATCCTCCATTTTGACATATAACGCCGATGCAATCATCAGTATCTTAAACAAATGCATGTAAGTGGTGTTACAAATATATTACAAATATAACATATGATTACAAAGTACACTTTATATAAATGGCATTTAATAATATTGACCTGTTATATCCTAATTGATCTTCGGGAATATATTAGTAAGCTACTGTGAAAGAAATTGAATTTGAATGACAACATCAAATAAGCATAACTTTGGCTTACCATCGCAAGTATATTTATCAGTTTTAAGACTGAAACCTTGACTGCAACTACATGTATATGATCCGTGTACATTTCGGCATGTTTGCGAACACCTTGATGTTCCTTCGCTACATTCATCAATATCTAAAAACAAAAACTGGTCTAAGATACACTTAACATTGACATATAAATTGCATGTTTTGTGAATGTTATGCGGAATTCAGTACACAACTGATCGTTTCGGTTGTAGAAATAGGTCAAAAAGGTAATCATTAAGCGAGGCAGTCGTCATCTTCAGCACAAGTGTCACAACAACCCAGACAGAATAAGGACAATTCATGACGTGAGCACCAATAACTGTAATTTTATCATATTTGCTTATGATATTAAGCCATTTGAGTCACGCTTCCCTTTCCGTTCCAGGTGCAAATCAATCACTCCAGCTGACAATGTTAAGTGCTTTAAAGTTATATTTACCGACACATGACAATTGTTGTGACTCCAGTCTGAATCCGTCGCGGCATTCACAATGGAATGATCCTGGTTCGTTTACGCAATTTTGCATGCAACCGCCATTGTTTCTGCTGCATTCATTTATATCTACAAAAAGCAAGGAAATAACAAAAAAAAAAACAATCTATAGTTTGAGTAAAAATAAGTACATGTATAATAGGATGTCTGTAAAGATCATTATTTGATTAAAATGATGTTTGTTTGAACTTACAAACATTACGCTATTAATTTTACAGTAAATATACAAAGCGTATGATGATTTTAACTCTTTAGGACGACGCATATATATTTTAAGCATGAGATCCAAGACGGTAATGCAACGTTCTGATGTGATTTCGAAATTTGATAAAATTTTATCAAGACGATAGCCATTGCAACAACTAAATTTAAGATTAACATACACGCGAGATGCATTACAGTGGTTTACGTGTTCGAATACAAAATCGTTTATTTTTTATCGAGCATACCTGTACAAGAGCCATTGGGCAATAATGTAAATCCTGGACGACAAGAACAACTATAGGAGCCCGGCAAGTTGATACATTTCTGTTCACATTTTGCCACTCCAGTTAGGCACTCGTCTATATCTATAAGGTCATTCATAAAAGTAGTTTATGTTTTCATCTCATCTCCAAGCAATCCTTTCACGGACAGAAACGATAACAAAGAGAAATTACAAAACAAACTGAAAAACCATTAAGTATTTACAAAAACATACTGAAAACAAATGAAAAATGAAACGCCAATTCAAAATACAAACAAAAACACTACAGTCATTTCCTTTTGTCTTCACTAAACACTTTTTTTAATTATAATTACCAGAACATGTTTGACCGTCAGAATCGAGGGTGTAGCCTTGTCTGCAGGAGCATTTGAAGGATCCAACAGTATTTGAACATATTTGGTTACAATGTGAGTTGCCAACGACACATTCATCTACATCTAAACAACAGATAGATAGTATAATTTCAGCATTAGATTCCATATTATGATTTAACTGATCAAGGCATGTTTTAATAATATTCCAAGATGCCAGTACATTATATGTTTGATAAAAACACACTGGAAATTAATTCTTAAAACTCGTTCCGTAAAGAAAATCATATGTTATCGTTAATTGCCATTATTATTGTATTTGTGGTGTTTATTGTTTGTTGTTGTTTTTTGTTTCTGTTTATTCTATTCAACCTTGCATACAGTGCAATTACCCTTAGGATATATTGCATTCTTCTTATTTTTATATTTTTACGTCCGTCTATGATATGTAGGCTTCATTTACTCCAATCTTCTTCAAAATTTCATTCTTTTTAGTTTTGTCATTTGTTTTATTTTCAGCACACGTGTATTAATTTACTTGGGCAATATATGCAGCTTTTCGTAGACGAACGTTTTGCTTAAAATATGCCATGAATACATCTGCGGATGTTTCCAAATTTAACCTCAGTCTTTCAAGTTTAAGTGTTAAGTAGGTCGGTGATATACGACGCTGTCGGACAGTAGCTTGCACTTATTACTAATTACTACTAACAATGAGCAAGCTCAATCAAACCAAGCCGGCAATTTTTCTTTTAAATTTGACTTGTTGGGCGATTAAATATATTTTAAGAATTTATTTTTCCATTTTACAAATGTACTTTTGTTTGTCATCCTCATTTTTTATTTGCGCTTTGTTATCATTTAAATTGATAGAAATGGTCTTTTCATACAAAAAGAAAATAACATTACCAAAACATGAATATCCATTTGAAGAGAGCTTAAAGCCATCTTTGCATGCACATTTTGGTACACCCCTATCGACAACATAATTATGCTGGCATCTCTCTGCAAAGTCATAACATATGTAATATTATCATATAAAATGAAAGTTTTAATCTTAATTTAAATCATTTTAATATTTATTTTATTTATTTATTTTCTACCAGTTAGTGCTTATGTATCTAGAGGATCCCAATAGAATGTGTACTTACTACATCCATGTCCATAGCCTGCAGGTACGTAGTATCTCTCGCACTCTGTACATTTTATGTTGTCAGGACTTCCGCCACAGTCTTGTTTGCCATGTTTACATTGGGCAATGTTTATATGTCTGCAAGCTTCAAAAAATTATTTTGTAAAACTTTAATTGCTCTTTAAAATATTTAATTACATATAAAACTAAATTGTTTTTTATGGTCGCACATGTATTCATATTTACCGGAATGATATCAGGACATGCTGACAGTATAATTGTTATTGCAAAAAGATAAAACCATGAATGAACTCAATACAATCCTTCTTCAAATGATAATAGAGGAAACAATTTTTACATTTAAATTATCTGTATTAACAAAATGACATGAAGTGTTATGAGTTGCTAAACAGTTTCGGCGCCACTTTGAACGCATCGCGTTTGAGTAATATTACCTGAACACATTTAAATAAAGTAATTCGTTCATAGTCGTCTATTTTGCTATTATATAGGAGTAGAAAATATTTATGTTTTACTAAAAATGTTAAGAGTTAAAACTTTTTTATTCTTAAACCTATTCGTATCCAAAACGGAGGTGAAAACCTTCCTGTTAACTGCTCAGCTACAATTTTCCAAGCAAAGAGTAAGGTGCTGATAAATTATACTGCTTTGTTGTTGTTGCTTATTTATTTTTTAATATTATGAAAAAAAACCAAACTGTACAATTGAGAAGCACTTAATACATATTGTTGGAAATATTTTATTTACTTTGACAACATGATCCTGATCTCCAAGCACTGCAGTGACAATGACCCCCGTAAAAGGAGCCGCTATTGTAGCAAAATTCATTGCATGTCCTACTTTGCGTCTCGGAATGCCGTCCCCACCAAATACCACAATATCCGTAACGAGTTTGACTGCCGCCACCACATGAACGGCTGCATTGACTCCATGACTCCCAACTACAACAAACTACAAAGGAATACATTAAATCTTAGTTTGATCTATATATTTTGAATTAAGACATGAAATTATGGAATCTAATAGGGTTAAAATAGATTTATAATACCTTTGTATAATATGCCTTTGTTCAATACCAAAAAATGTGACACTGACAAGAAGTAATTTTAGACAGAATCTTTGAGCGTGTGAGATATAAAAATGCCTCCGATACGAAAGGTAATGTTTTTTACTGATATGAAAAGAATATAAATTTGAAACTAAACATATTATGAACATATTTTGAGTGGTCATAAACGATGGCAAGTAAAGGTAAATGTATGTCATTGACACACACACACGCACGCACCACCACACGCACCATCACACACACACACACACACACTCAGAAACGCTTTTAGCGGGTGGTTGTTATGAAGCAATCAAACACTTGTTGTCGCAAAAGATATAAACATTTTTACCAAAACACAGAGAAACAAAGGTTTGAGATGTTTCAAGTCAATATTGTTTTTTAGTTCTTTAGCAAATAATTACTGGTTAAAGAAGAAACGTTATGTTCCTCATCGGTGTAAATTTTATAAACCAATCCTGTTATATGCCGATGATGTTGACAAAAGTTTATTTGACCTTCAAAGTATGAGACATGATCTTCATTACTGTTAATCCACCTAACTCCAACATTCTACAATTTCTAGACCTACTCATAGATTATAAGTTAGAATACGTGATGTTACACAGTATAAATATCTTGGTATTGTATTGACCGAACATCTAGATTATTCTATTACTACTAAAATGTGGCTCAGACTGCCCAAGGAATATTAGTAATAGAAAAAGCATCGAAACACGAGACTATCTGATTTGCACGTGGGGGCGTATGGAGGGCGTTCGTTGCCAAAATTCCAGACATGTAAAGTGTTCCTTTTTAAAATGACTTTTGAAAATGCGAACTTGTATGCCTACCATTTTTATTGTACCCGTGCATAGCACATAATATGCCTCTAAATCTAATCTTTTAATTGAAAGTTCCCGCCTTTATATAACAAGTTTACATATATAAAACGACAACAAATTTACAAGTTCGTATCTTACATTGCATGCAATACATATGCATGTTTGCACACTTATAGATCTGAAATATACAAATAAAAAAAAATCTTAAATACAGAAAATAGAGTTTAAGAAAACCTGTTACCAGTTGTAGAACTACAAGAGTACGTTAACACAGTAACATGTTTAAAATGACAAAAGTAGATTCACAAAGTTAAACGATTTTAAGTCAAGCATAACGCCCCGCCCCTCTCGGAGTATTTACGAACTTCTATTTAAAACGGCGCCTCTCCCATATTTCTAAATAAAACTGAAGGACAACATACGGCATTTTTCATAACATATATTTGTTACATTTGTTACAACAGTTTTGTCACTAGCAACATCACTTGAAAATTGCTGATATTACCATTTATGATGAAGATAACTTATGCATTAACTTATTATTTAACATCGTGTTCTTATCAGTTACAAATTATTTATCATTTTAGTGATTAGCCTGTCCGTGCTCTGCCTAGTGCCCTGTCCTGTGCTTTGTTTGGGGTCCGCCTGGGCTCCTTGCCACTTGTTCTTGTTGCTGGGTCATGTGGGGTTGCGTTCATTGAAAGCCGCCTTTCCTTGTTGATCTTGTTCATCATATATTCCTGAGAAACATCGGCGATTTGGAATTTTTTTGGGGAAAATGACCAACTTCAAGGGAGTAATTTTATAATTTTTTTATTGATAATCTAAAAACCATCCAATATTTTAATTGGTATCATTGAAAAATGTATGGGCACAAATTTCATTTTCAACAAAAACTATGCAAGTATTTGCTAAAATAGGATTTTAAAGCGGCCACCGAGATTTCCTTTCCGAAATCAAGAAAATACTTATCCGTAGCATATATGTACAATCTTTAATAAGGTATTTTCAGTATGAATAAAAACTTTTTGCACTTGTTCATTATCCCTCATGTACAGAATCAATCAAACCGAGTCTGCAATTCTTATGTAATTTTGTTGTGATTAATGCTTCCGAGGGATCACTTTGTTTCAAGATTTTTTTACTTCACAGCAGCAGGTGTCAAGTGCCGTGTGGCAGCTGTAAAAAGTTGCCCCGTACTTCACTTCAGTGTTGTTATATTTTTCTGATCGATGCCAGCGCTATTAAGTGTTGAGAATTGAGTACCGTTCAATCCGGTGCTAGGGGGCGTGAGGGATGTAGCACTCGTTCATAATCCCTCATGTACAGACTCAATCAAACCGAGTCTGCAATTCTTATGTAATTTTGTTGTGATTAATGCTTCCGCCGAGGGATCACTTTGTTTCCAAATTTTTAATAAACTTGTTCAAAGCTTATGGTCTTAACTTTCATTCAATATTCATTTGCTTTTTTGAATAAAGTATCTAAAGGAAGCGACGTGATTTTTTCCCCGAATATATGAGTGTGGTTTTAAGAGAGAAAAAATTCACAACGATAAGTTTGAAACAAATTTTTTAATACTTCTACGTAATTAATTTTCATTTTTAAGGCATCAATAGAAAGTTCATAAAGAATTCTTTTACTTGAGTCTAAAATTATCAAAATTGACCAAGAAATAAAAAAGTAAGTAGGGCGCCATGTTTCTCTTACTGAATTTCAGAGTGTGTGTTGATTTTTTTACTTGGGGACCATATGCCGTTTTTCACGGTATGGCACTTACGTGTCACATTGAAGGTTCCATGATAATCGCCATATTAACACATCTGTGGATGTTTTAAAATTCAAAATTGTACCAGTTCATGTTGAATTTTACTTAAGCCGGTGCTAGGGGCGTGGACGTTAACTTGCTCTTTCCATTACCGTCCATGAACAGGCTCAATCAAACCGAGCCTGCAACATTCTCAATTTTGTCGTTTTGAGCGTTCTTTAGGGTTTATTAATTTCTCTATTTTACAGAAAGTAACAAGATGAACTTTTAAACGAAAAGTTAATTCATTTTGATTTAATTCATTTTTATTTTTAGGCATTATATAATCATATATATATCATAAAGCGTATGTAACACACTTTTATTTCAATCCAAAATTATCAAAATTGATTACGGAATAAAAAAAAGTTTGGAGGGAACGCCGTGTTTTTCTTACCAATTCGAGAGTGTTATTTTCAAGTGAAAAAATGATAAATTTTGAAACAAAAATTTCAATACATCTATTTAATTCATTTCTATTTCCGAGGCACTCATAGAAAGCTTATGGAGTAATCTTTCATTTGATACCAAAAATATTTGACTTTTTATAAAATGAAAAAAAAAGTTAGAATGGACGCCGTGTTTTCCTTCACTTTATTGAGAAATAGGAGAGTCGACGGGTATTATACCTGTCCGTGCATTTCCGTAATAGAAGATCGTAAATACTCAGAGAGGGGCGGGGCGTCATGCATGACTTAAAATCGTTTAACTTTGTGAATCTAGTTTTGTCATTTTAAACATGTTATGTGTAAACGTACTGTTGTAGTTCTACGACTGGAAATACGTTTTGTTAAATTATATTTTCTGTATTCGAGTTTTACATTTCATTTGTATTTTTCAGCTTCAGATAGATACCTACAAGTGTATAAACATGCTTATGTATTATATGCAATGTAAGATACGAACTTGTAAATATGTTGTTGTTCTCATTGTTAGGTCAGTTGTTAAGATTTACATGTAAACTTGTTATTTAAAAGCGGGTGCCTTCAATTAAAAGATTAGATTAAGAGGCATATCATTTGCTGTGCACGAATACAATAAAAAATGCTAGACATACATGTTCGCATTTTCAAAAGTAGTTTTCAAAAGGAACACATTACATGTCTGGAATTTTGGCAACGATCGCCCTCCATAGGGGCGTAGCCCCCGAGTATAAATCAGATTGCCGAGTGTTTTGATGTTCTTTCTCCTTTGTATCATAGTCAAACATACAAACACGTTCCCTGATACCACAATATGAAACCCCACAAAAAATAACCAATGAACGAACATCTGAATATGAAATTTCTGTCGCTTTCCCTTTCTCTTCCGTCACAATAAGTAAGCCCCAGCAAAAATGAACCAATCAACGGGCATGCTCTGGAGTGCGGGTAACTAATACCTGCACTCCAGTTAACGCACTGTGCATGTAAATGTATACGATTTAACTCTGACACATTTTCATCAGAAAGGTCCCCAAACTATGATACAAGTAATGTTTATTGATAAAACTAAAGCATATGGGTGTATCTTTCATTAAGTATATAGCGGATATTGAATGAGTGTAAGTTCAATACTGAATTTATTGCACGCGCCTCTGGCGAGCATAATATTATTCATTCAACGAGTGCAATAAATTTAGTAATGAACCTACACGAATTTAATATTCTATTTATCACATGCCCAAAATAAAGACCATTTAAAGTGAAATAAGAGTCATTTTTCATTGACGCGCCTATAGTATAACGCTAACATTTAGCGCGTCTGTATAACGCTAATGACGTCACGTCAAAATATATGCACGGCCGTGCAATACCATATTTACGGAGTCGCAAAATCGGCACGGGTGTGTGATAAATATAAACACGTATGAATCAACTATAATACCAGATATCACATGTGCACAATCTGACTTAAGTTGCCCACCGTATATGTTTCGCCTTCTTTGTAATTCGGATTACCCGATAAAGCTATTTTAGCCATGCAATCAAACCGGTTTCTACAGATAGGCATTAGAAGAAGTATCAAAATACTGTTATCAATGGAAGTTAAAAAAAATTGTTGACTTTTTGTTAGAAAATAAATGTTTTAAATATTTTTAACAAATTTACTTGAAATAATAAATTCAATTTTTATTGGGCAAAATTGCTTTGCTAGTTTACCTGTCGGCTATATGGACAACGTTATGTTTGTTCTAGAAATGGTGGAAATTACCAACTCAGTATTGGTATTTCAAGGGTTAAATTAGGGTTTCGCATCGCTACCAAAATTATGAATGTTCGCCAGTGATTGGTTGTTTGAAAGACCACGAGAAGGTGACTGCCTAGAGGTGGAAGTAAGATCCAAAAGCGCAGCGTTTTTTAGGCGCTGATTTTAATCAGATTGCACATAATAATAATAATTATATGCATTATCTGAATGTTGTTGTGATACATTGTCTTGTATTATCAATGCTGTGTAGAATAGAGATGCGCAATATATTTTTAATGTAAGGATATATACACCAAATGCTTGTTTATGGCGATATTGGTTGGATATATATTTTGCTGGATATCTTTGAAATTTAAAAATATTGTAAAATAGTATTAAAAAAGTCAGATAGGGGTATTTTGGCAACAGTCCGTATGACACGGTTACAGTTATCCGCAATGGTATGCCAGTTGAACAAAGATTGTGTGGCTATTATCAAACCGTGGTGGAAGATGAAAATCATGTTATTGTAAATATACTATTCAATACGTTACAACTGTATTGTCTAAACCTCCTCAGACATTGATAAAGTACGATATATTTGCACTATTGCAGATATTGTGTTTTAACTGCCAAATTAAGTTTAACATACAGAACAGAATATGATTACATTCACACAATACACATTTGTCTCAAATGACTATTTTGTGTTTAAGATATACAAATAGGAAAATGCATGTGCAAAAAAATTGAACCTGATTTGATGAAATGTGACTTGATTCTATGATTATTTTATTGAAATTTTAAGATCCCTTGATACCCTATGCTTTTAATTTACTTATAGATATTTATATAAGTAGATTCCTTTTAACAAGGGTTTGCATGTCAAGTTCCAATTAGCAAGGATATCTAAGATTTGATAGGTAACTAGAAGTTAAACTTTTTAGTCCCATATTAATCTTAAAAAATTGCAATGTACATTGACTGATTTATTTTATATGTATTTAACTGTGTACATTGGTGAGACTAATAAATTGATATATTTCATAATTTGTCAGGAACAGTCTGAATCAAACAAAATCTTCATTGCTCTCAGATTTCTATACTTCTATTTCTATTATTTTCAAATTACGAATTTAAAAACTTTTTCTATGTGGTTTAAGTGCTACATGTATCTCTTTATAAAATGAATAATCATAAAATACAACTTACATGCCGTGGTCACAATCAATGCTAGTCCGAGGAGCTGCAACATCCTTATGTGGTCCTCTCCTCGAGACCGGGCGGCTTTATAAAAGATATACGAAATTTGCGTTCATTTCATTTTTTTAATTCAAAAACCTTGACATAGTTTTATTTGGTCGCCTTAGAAGAATTTATCAATATTGACATCCGTGCTTGTGTACTTAGATAAAAATAATAGACTACTCTTTTTTATCAGCCATATTTTGAAAAATCTAAAATTTAATGCTTAAACATGCTAAAGTGTTGAATAGAAAAAATGTTTCTACGATAACAGATAGCATGCGATTGGTTAGACATTCTGAATAATTTCCCCACGTACAGATATATATATATTCTTTATCTGTATTAACGTATAATCTCTTGGACTGTGCCAGTTACCTGTCATGTGCTTGTAAACGCTGCGTTAAATAGATATTATATATAAACCTTTTAAACAGAAAAAGCCATTTATCTCAATCTTCTTATCTAACACTATTTGATAAATATTTTATTTACCATTTTGTTGACATATACAGGTTATTTAAAGACTTTTTATCTACTTTTAGAGCGTTTTCCAATATCATTATATTTTTAAAACAGGTTATCCCCTTATAATTTGCTACAAAGTCGTATATGCATTATGAGAGTTCATAAAAGTACGAAATATTTTGGGATACTAATTGCATATTAACTCATCATAACAAGAATTAGGGGAAAGGTGGCCTAGTGGTTAAGGTGTCTGCCTCTCAGCCCGCTGATCATGGGTTCAAGCTCTAATAGTGTTCCGACCATGTTTGACACCAGCACTGGTTGGTTCCAGAAGAAAACACAGGACACAATCAGGAAACTGGGCTTCGAAGTACTCGAGCAACCGGCCTTGAGCTCCGACCTCGTAACTTGCAATTTCTTTCTGTTCCCGACACTGAAGATCATTCTGCGGGAAGAGCATATCGATGACGTAAACGAGTTATTATTATTATAAAAAATCATTATAATGATTGTAAAAGGGAAATAGTTTGATCCAAATATGTTTACAAATAATGTGTTAAGGTAAATAACTTTAAATGCCAAGGTCATTCGAGTATATAGTAGTAAATTTAATTTCGTCCAATTATGCCTCAAAATACTATCATTCTTATTTCACAAAAGCTTTGTTTTTTGGTATCTTGTTACAGTTTTCAAAATATACATATTTATAACAATGATGTAACAAGTATGTTACAACCTTGTTATATCTGTGTTACAGTATCAATTCCAGTTTTTGCCCATTTTAAAGGGCTACGCTGTAACACTTGTAACAACCTGTAACATTTGTAACATTTTTGTGTGAAATTATCATTTTATTCTCAACTCTTGGAACATTTGTAACAATGCTGTAACAACTATGTAAAAACCTTGTAACATCTATGTAACCGTATCAATTCCGATTTCTGTCCATTTTAAAGGGCTACGCTGTAACGCTTATAACAACCTGTAACATTTTTGTGGGAATTTTTCCTATCATTTTCAACTCTCTTAACATTTGTAACAATGCTGTTACAACTATGTAACAATCTTGTAACATCTATGTAACCTTATTCATTCCGATATCTGTCCATAATTAAGGCTTATCCTGTAGCACTTAAACAACCTATAACACTTGAAAAAATTACGAGTGAAACTATCATTTCAATCTCATTTGTAACAAATGTATCAACTATGCAACAATCTTGTAACATCTATATAATCCTATAAATTCCGATTTCTGTCCATTTTGAAGGCAAATGCTGTAATGCTAATAGAATTAACTTCTGCTATAAAACTGAAATATTAATGCATTAAGAAGTCTTATAATTTCACGAAATACCACGATGAAGTGGACAAAATAATACAAAAACACAGGTAGTTTTTATTTGTTTGGGAAGTCAGACCAAACAAATAATGGTAGCGAAATTTCAGACTCTAATGCTGTTAATTGCAAATGCTGAAAGTAGTCCACTTTTTTGAAGCGGTTACTTCCCTTTATAACGTATGTACACTTACGCCGAACAAATCAGGTGAGATCATTGCGTAAAGATGGTCAAATGACAGGCGCATTAATTTTCAAGCAAAATAATTCCCGAATGGTCGATGATTTCTAATATTGTTTTATTCTTTATAGATATACATGCTTATAGTAAGCGCCATGATTATTTACACAAGTGTTAAACAACAGTTAGTGTCGTTACAAACCCTAATTTAGAATAATATGGGTTTCTTCAGGCTGTTAACATATAAATTCACCATGGCCGAGGGGTTTGCGCGCTCGCTTAGGAAGCGAAAGGTCTGGAGTTCAAATTCCAGATAAGGCAACTCATTTTTTTTTCAAATTGTTTAAGTCAAATTAACATTGGATTGAATATCAGTGTTGCAATAAGTCTTTTAGCCAATTAACTACAATTAAAACGCTGGAAAGCATTGGTGGCACAAAAATAAATTGGTTTATAATCTCACAACCTTCACCTTTCTGACATTTGGAGACCCAAACAAATTCAGCGCCTTCTGTGCTTTGATTAACATAGTGCCCAGTCAACGTTTCCATATTCAGCGGGTAATACATAATAAATCGAACAAGTGACGACAAAAGTTATTGGTTTTTGCAATTTAATGATGATTTTTAAACAATATGTTCTGTTTATATACGATATATCAATATACGAAAGCAACTTTTATCTCCAATACTATATAAGACTTAAATATCGTCAAATTTCGTGATCTAAAAATTTCATTCATAATAGCACTTACTTTACAATGGACGATTTTATCAAATTAATCGATAGATAAGATACTTGTTTCATGCTAAACAATGGTGAGTTCATGATGTTTATTAATGATCATTTCAATGAATAATTAAATCGTTCCGAAAATATCGATATCAAGAGGGTATCGCAACAGTAGGATAGGACAAAATTTAATAACAAATAGAAACGCATGACTTACAAACGTATGCCTGTAAATATCACAATGTTGCTTTATATATATATATATATATATATATATATATATATATATATATATATATATATATATATATATATATATATATATATATATATATATATATATATTTTTTTATTTTTTTTTCTTCTTAAACTAATTCTAAATGAATTAGGAAAACATATGCATTCTTCCTAATTATGATTTAAAGCTTGATGCAAAATTTCAAAGTAAAAAGAAATCGTATGCATATTTTCTGATCAAAATTTGAAGCTTTATTTAAAATTATTAGTGGTATAGCATGCTAAGCTAGTGATTTTCAAACTTTAAGGGGTTGTTAATTAATTAATTATTTCAATAATTCTATACATATACCATTATGTTTTCTATTTTATACGTATAAATGTTGCAAAAAGAAAAGTGGCGATGTTCATAATAAAACCTTTACTTGACAAATTCACCCAGGGTAGACACAAAATTGTATGTGCGTGCATAGAGAAAATTAATAAGTCATCACGTACAAATGAAACACGCGATACTGAGCATAACAGCTAGCGAAATACTGTGGGAGTGTGTAATTGAAAAACAAAGAATATTCTTAATATCTCATGAAAAATAGAAACATAGAAAATATTGTTTCCGTATTCTTTTCTTGAAATTGTCAAAAATAACAAAAGTTATACTATATATTGATGAGGAAAAAAATAGAGAAAAATGTAAATTACGTAACTCCACAGACGAGTGCAGATGTAGCTTTAATTTATCAATTTTCATTTATTATGCAGATCTAGAGAATTTTGTCTTGTTTTTTAAAGTAGAAATTATCTTAAAAAAGTAATGTGTGCATTACTTTCTTGTAGTAGATGTTTTCGAGTGTCCTTTTTTACATGACTGAACTAGAAATAATTTCGAGATTAATGTTTCATTTGATGTAGGTACTGACTACTTGTGTGCAAACCTTCATATTATTCGCTCTCAGTCTCAATTTTTTTCCAGAATAATTATTTGTATTGTGAAAAATATGATGACAAAAGATTGAAAAGCGTTACAACGCTTTCCACTCAAACTGGACTAAGAATAACACAAAGTACGATTTTAGATTTATATCTGAGTATATTTCTTAATTATCTTTTGCATATGTACCCTTTCTGCTCTATGTACGAAATTTACATTTTATGTTTTTAAGGCTTTCGGACATCAGATGATTGTTTAAAAATCGTTTAATTTCTAAATAACAATATTAGTTTTGAGCTTATATTCCGTTTAAATTAAGTTCCGTTTTTGTATTTTTTTTTCTTGAAAAATAGAACTTTGTATGTAAGATATATTGTATGATACTCAAACCCTATTAAACATGTATAATACATTTATTACGAAAGTTTTATCCGTTTTATCAGCATATAATACCATACAATCAGAATAGATAAACAAGAGACAAAATGTTCATTTTGATTTGGAAATTATCTTAGTACATTGGTTACTGTAATTTAAAAGTCTTTGAATTCCAGCCAAAGGTAGATACTGTGAGAACAATGAATATAAAAATTGTGCAATCAGTTTTGTTGTGTCAGCCTACGACTGATAAAGAAATGTGAAATATCTTAAACGACTGACAATGTATAATCATAAACACTACATTTTTATTTGAATTCATTTTAATGTATTACAACGCTAACATGAAGTACGATGCAACGTTTTACTTCTTTTTATAAAAAGAAATCATCATATAAATATGTGGGACTTTTTTCTTGCGAGTACCACGATGAACTACATCTTCGGTAATAGAAGTTGCTTTAATCTTTGATATATAATTTAATTCTTAAGGAAATACCGCGATTTATTTGAATTGTAACGTTAACTACACTGCAAGCCTACACAGCAGTTACTAAATCGAAACATTATCACTGTAAAGGTCACAATTACGGTGCTTTTAAATGTTCGTAATGAAAACTCAGCAATTTTTATTGTGCCTTTGACACTGGATAATCAAATCGATCATTCTGTGATTCCAAGTATTGTGGGAAGCTGCCCCAATACGTTTACACATATATCTCGGAAATGTTGAAAGAATTTAAAGTTATTACCAATTAATTAGTTAATTATTTATGACAATACGGTACTTTGGGGATATTATATTTCTGCCCACGGGTATCTAGGCTCGAATCAGAAAGTTTTATACATTTGAGGCCTTGACTCGGGTGAAGGTAATTGGGATGATTGGATTTTATATCCTATGCATAAGGTTCTCATTGCCATACAAATAATACACAACATTAAAACGTCTCTTTATTTTTGTATTTTAACTCGCTTTTACAAAACAAAAACAAACGTATAAGATATGCAACGTGAAATTATAGCTGTACGTAAAATATATATATGAAAAGTGGCTATTTAAACTGGCAATTTTATAATTACAATAAAACACTAGAATAAAGGTGTTTTTTTTATCAAGAACTTTATTGTAATGTTACTCTATTTTAAACGTTGGGTGTAGATAGATGTGCTTAGCTGTCCTATTTTGTCACTTCAATCTAATCGTTCATGATATATACTGACTATCAAGATGTGTTGTTTTTTTTTTTTTTAGTTTATAAAATTATACATGTATAATATGCACTAAATATCAAGAACTAAGACTTGCACAAAATCAAGTTTTTTAATTGCCATTTTGTCGTTCGTTCTTTTATTCGTCCGTTCATTCATTCATTCATTCATTCATTCATTCTTTCATTCATTCATTCATTCATTCATTCGTTTATTCATTCAATATATACAGTCATTTGTAATCAATTTAGTTACTATTTTCATGTATTTGTTTATTTATTTATTTATTTATTTATTTATTTATTTATTTATTTATTTATTTATTTATTTATTTATTTATTTATTATCGTTTTTTTTGTTGTTTACATTTATCATGTTTAACTTAACTATCATAACGCTTAAGTAATAGCTAAACTAGCTTATCCAAAATTTCTATTTTCCGAGTAGCAA